CTCAAAAAAAAAAAAAAAAAAAAAAAAAAAATTCAACATCAAATATTTGAAAATTCAATTCAAATATTTTGGCACAGGAAAGTTCTCCTTTAACAAGAAATTCTCCAAGGATCTAGAGTTTACAAGAACCATAACATTTATATATACAATGTTTTAGAGTCAGTATAATTAAAACAACTAAAGCATCTGAACTACATACAAACTTCTATTTTGTCCTCATTAGAAATGGGACAATAGCCTTAGATTGTAATTATACTTAAGTGACATTTAGTCCCACCCCCTTCAGCAGTACCTTAGCAAGTGAAGTACAGAGTAGATTTATTTTGAATAGCTCTCAAGGATAAAATTACGACCAACATGGCAGGCAAACTGAGGAACTTGCCTTGTGAGAAAGTGAATTCCTTATTACTAGAAGCTTTCAGATTGGATAACCATCTGCTGACAGACGTAGGTGAGAGTCTTTCAATGAAACAGAGAGAGTAGAGAGGGATTGAACTAGCAAATCATGCATGTCCTTTGCTATGACAGATTCTATGAATCTTATAGAAACCAGCACTAGAGTGTCTTTAATGTGCGCCTAGTTTTCCTAAATCAATGTATTATACTCGTAATTTAGTACCATTCATGATGACAATTACAGTGACACTGTGCAAATTCCAGGTTTGCAGAATCTAGTCCCAAAATGGCTTCCAAAAAACCCAGGATGGACAGGGCCAGACAGTACTATTTCCTGGGCAGCAGCTTTCAAAACAGTTAAAATCTGCAACCAATTAGGGTATATACCAAATGACCTTATGGTAATTATTTGTTGCTCTGCATCAAAATGTCCTTGCCCTGTCTCCTACCACCATTCCCAGACCAACACGATGCATCATCCAATTCTGGTTTACTCTTCACATAGAAACTCTAGACCAACTGCATAGATAGTAACTGAAACAGAACTTTGTATTGAAGAGTAGAAGAGAGCAGTGATAAAGCCAGATAAATTTATCAGAAGGCCCTGAAAATACAGTTTAGATTTGATTGTAGAAGATAAAAAATAAAGTACCACTATAATGTTTCTGAGGGCAAGGACAAATGAGAATGATATTTTAGAAAGATTAATTAGCTCGACAGTGATAAGGAGTAATGACTAAGCAGACCAATCATGTTTTTATCCTACCGTTTGTTAATTCTCACTATTAAGGCACTCTATGAGTATCTGCTATCCTTTGGCAATTTGAGAAATAATATTCCTAAACAGTAGTTTAATCTTTCTACAACTAGCAGTTAAAAAAAATCCAACATGAACTAAACAAATTATAAAAGAAAACCTAACTATTAACATTAAATTGTCTTAATGGAGGAAATCTGGGCAAAACCCAAAAATAACTAATCCATATATTACAATAACTTTTGAGGAAGGGGAACATGTTTTCTCTAAGAGAAAAACAACTAAAACTGCTAATACCAAGTGCTTTGCTCTGAGTATTTTAAACTTAGTTTTTAGGATACTAGTTTACTGTCAACACAGTTTACCTCATGTTAGAATAACACTGTAAGTGAATTTAGAAAGATACTTACTGTGCTGCCCCTTCCCTGAGGAGATTGTCATTATTAAGTAGTAGCCGAACATCTAAGGAAGAAAAGTATTAAAATGTTTAGTAGAAGACAAGTTTAAGAAACCATAGCAGATTTTTAAAATTCAGGCTTTGCGAGATTAGTCCTTAGGTGCCATTGTAAAAATGCAAATGAACAGAAGCTAATGTTAATAGATTTGCAAGGAATGTGTACTATAATAATTCAACAAAAAATTCTCCAGGAACTTCGTAGCAAATGAAAAAAAGTAGATCATAGAAGGTTCCAGTTAGCACTTTTAATTTTGTATCTAAGTGAATCCTTTAAAATTAGCCTAGATTAAGAATTACAGACTCTTCTACAACATCAGAACAAAAACATCTGGTCACAACTTAGTGGCAATCAAATTACTGAACATATTTTTATATGAAGGCTCTAATGTGAAGATCTACAACATTTTTAAAAAGTGTGTGTTGGGTTCAGTGCCCATAGCTCAGTGGTTAGGGCGCTGGCCACATACACCAAGGCAGGTGGGTTCAAACCTGGCCCCGGCCTGCTAAACAACAACAACAACAACAACAAAAAAAAATAGCAGGGTATTGTGGTGGGCGCCTGTAATCCCAGCTACTGAAAGGTTGAAGCAAGAGAACTGCTTAAGCCCAAGAGGTAGAGGTTGCTGTTAGCTGTGATGCCACAGCACTCTACTGAGGGCAATATAATGAGACTCTGTCTCAGGAAAAAAAAAAAAAGCTGTGTGTCAAAGAGTTTAATAACTTTTCTTTTGGAAGAAGTCAATATTTGTTACTAAGAAGCTACCAAGCATTAACTCCAAGAGGGAAGGCTAACTAGATAGGCCATTATAACAAGCCTTGAGATTCTCAAAGCTTCTAAACAAAGGGCCTGATGGAGGCCCTCATGCCATTAGTATCTTGTCAATTCTTTTTGTCAGGGTAACAAAGAGAGATTTTATTTAGGAAGAACAAGAGAAAATACAGAGCACTTCTAAAAAGAGTTGGAAGTGGGTCCCTTTCATGAAGAAGAAAGGTGAGCGAACCTATCTTGTCAATTCTTTTTTTTTTTTTTTTTTTTTTTGAGACGGAGCCTCAAGCTATCCCCCTGGGTAGAGTGCCATGGCATCACAGCTGACAACAACCTCCAACTCCTGGGCTCAAGCGAGTCTCCTGCCTCAGCCTCCCAAGTAGCTGGGACTACAGGCGCCCACCACAACGCCTGGCCATTTTTTTGGTTGCAGCCATCATTGTTGTTTGGCGGGCCCGGGCTGGGGATTCGAACCCACCACCTTAGGTGTATGTGGCTGGCATCTTAGCCGCTTGAGCCACAGGCGCCGAGCCTCTTGTCAATTCTTAATCCAATGTTTTGCTATCAGTTATTCTCACGATACTCCTAGTAAGTATATTTAGTTATTAGAAATAAAATAAAGGTCTTCTAACTACAAAAGACATTTATTTTGTTAAGTCAAGAATTTATCTGGGAGGCGCCTGTGGCTCAGTGAGTAGGAAGCCAGCCCCATATACTGAGGGTGGCGGGTTCAAACCCGGCCCCGGCCAAACTGCAACAACAACAACAACAAAAAAAATGACCAGGTGTTATGGCAGGCGCCTGTAGTCCCAGCTACTCAGGAGGCTGAGGCAAGAGAATCACCTAAGCCCAAGAGCTGGAGGTTGCTGTGAGCTGTGATGCCAGGGCACTCTACCAAGGGCAACAAAGTGAAATTCTGTCTCTAAAAATAAAAAAATAATAAAATAAATAAAAAGAATTTATCTGAGCTAAAGTCTAAGTTTAAGAAGATCTGTCTAAAGTTCAATTATTGAAAATTTATATTTGGTCAACATGGAAGAAAGACCAGAGAAAGGCTGCATTTGTTTTCCTTGCTATTAGTGCCCCAAATCCACAATTTTATAAAGAATATCTTGGCCACTCGGTATAGTGGTCACGCCTGTGATCCTAGCACTTTGGGAAGGAGAGGTGGGAGGATAGTTTAAGCACAGGAGTTCAAGACCAGTCTGAGCAACATAGCAGGATTCCATCTCTACAAAGTATTAAAACAAAAATTAGTTGGTGTGGTGGCATGTGCTTGCAGTTCCAAGGCAGGAGGATTTCATAAGCCCTGGAGTTTGAGGCTACAGTAAGCTCTGTCACCATACTCTAGTCTAGAACAGACAACAGAGACTCTGTATCAAAAAAAAAAAAAGAGAGAGAATATCCTTCTTGAAGTAAATGTTTCTATGTTTTTAGTTACCTTTTCTTTGCATCCTTATTATTTTTTTGAGACAGAAGTCTTACTCTGATGCCCAGGCTAGAGTGCCAAGGCATCAGTCTAGCTCACAGCAACCTTAAACTCCTGGATTCAAGTGATTCTCCTGGCTCAGCCTCTACAGTTGGGACTACAGGTGCCTACCACAACGCTGGCTAATTTTTCTATTTTATTTTTAATAGAAACAGGTTCTCACTCTTGTTCAGGTTGGTCTCAAACTCCTAAGCTCAAGTGATACTGCTACTTCACCTTCTAGAGTGTTAAGAATATAGGCATGAGCCACCATGCCCACTTGCATTATTAATTGTAGGGCTCTGGACCAGGTACAGAGGAATATCGCACAGTTCCTCTCCAGTAGCTAAACTTCTAATGTAAAGAATTTCAAAATAAACATTTGCTAAACTGAACCAAGATGCACATAGATCATGATTTTACTTAAGGGATCTTTAAGATGAATTAATTTAATAATTTAAAATGGGACTATAATGATTGGTTTCATCATGAAATTCAGGATGTCCAATCTATATTTTGTATCTTTTAAGTTATGTTAAGAAAGCAAATAGTAGGGAAGGTTGTAAACGAGAGTGGTTCTCAAACTGTGACCCACTGTGTGTGATTTAGAATCACCTGGTGAAGAACTTGATAAAACACAGATTACCAGATTCTTCCTCAGATATAATGAATGAGAATCTTAAGGAGATGACAAAACTTCATCTATATATTTAATAAGCTTCCCAGATAGAATTATTTCAGCACCCTTGGCCCTAGAAAGTGTCCTATTCTACTTCCTGAGTAAAAGCACTAAGAAATTTAAGTTATGATGTATAAAGATACAAACAAAACCATAAAAATCATTTATTATTATTTCTACATTTATTGATACTAGCTACCTTAAACCTTTTCTCACATAAGACAGACATCTTAATTTATGGGTTAAAGGCTTGCTTTTGACACAGACCTGGGTTTAAATCCTTATTCTGACACTTACTAGGTGAGTGACCTTGGACAAGTTCTTCTGATCTCTTTCAATCTTGACTTCTTTACCTACAGCTATTAACATGTCATAAGAATTAAAAGAGACACCAATAAATGGCAGTCATTAAGGAGGGATTAAAATAACTAAATACTGGCTCAGTGCCTGTAGCTCAGTGAATAAAGGTGCAGGTCCCGTACACTGAGGCTGGTAGGTTCCAGTCAGCCCCAGCCTGCTGAACAACAATGACAATTGCATCCAAAAATAGCCAGGCATTATGACAGGCGCCTGCGGTCCCAGCTACTTGGAAGGCTGAGGCAGGAGAATCCCTTAAGCCCAAGAGTTTGAGGTTGCTGTGAGCTGTGACGCTACAGCACTCTACTGAGGGCGACATAATGAGACTCTATCTCAAAAAATAAACAAACAAGAGAAAAACTGAGTACTAATCTTTACTCACCATTGAATACTTCATTAAATTCCCCTGGGGGTGCATGAGTGATGAATTTAGCAGCTATGCGTACCTAAAAAAAAATAGACAGTAAGAGAATTCTGGAAGTCACATACAAAAGAAGGAATTAGCAAATCACAAAATTTTCACCATATTCCTTGGGGGGAAAAAAGTCCTGCTTAAACCTCTACTGTGCAAGAGCCTTCATATTTTCTTTTCACTACTCCATTATCTATTATCAATATAGGTGTATTCTGGTTTTTTGTTTTTTTTTTTTGAGACGGAGTTCCCTTTGTCACCCTTGGTAGAGTGCCATGGCATTAAAGCTCACAGCAACCTCCAAGTCTTAGGTTCAAGCAATTCTCTTGCCCCAGCCTCCAGAGTAGCTAGGATTACAGGCTCCCAAAACAATACCTGGCTAGTTGTAGAGATGGGGGTCTCCCCCTTGCTCAGGCTGGTCTCGAACCTGTGAGGTCAGGGCAATCCACCTACCTCAGCCTCCAAGAGTGCTAGGATTACAGGCATGAGTCACCTTGCCTGGCCCCAATATTGATATAGTCTGTTTTTGGAATAAAAACATAAGCTATTTTTATCATTTCGAATTTTTCTTTAAAAAGCTGAATAATTCACCCTGGGAAGCCGAGGCCAGTAGATTGCCTTAGCTCACGAGTTCAAGACCAGCTTGAGCTAGAATGAGACCCTGCCTCTAAAAATAGCCAGGTATTGTGGCCAGTGTCTGTAATCCCAGCTACTCGTGAGCCTGAGGCAAGAGAATCCCTTGAGCCCAAGAGTCTGAGGTTGTTGTGAGCTACGATGCCAGTGTACTCTATTGGGGCAACAAAGTGAGACTCTGTCTCAAAAAAAAGAAAAAGAAAAAGCTGAATAATTAGTTTTGGGTAAAAATGTTCCATGTTCACAAAAAGAGAAAGCTATGACCTTTATTATGAACACTTAAGTAAAACAAAATATTAGCAAGTTAGGGAGTATACAAATATCAAATAGTGTTTATCCCAATGTAAGGATGGTTCAATATTAATAAATTAATGTAATTACAAATTAAAAAAGCAAAACCACTGGTGGCTCACACCTGTAATTCTAGCACTCTGGGAGGCCAAGGCAGGTAGACCACTTGAGTTTGGGATTTCGAGATCAGCCTGAGCAAGAGCAAGAATCCAGTCTCTTAAAAACAGCTGGGTGTTGTGGCAGGTACCTGTAGTCTCACCTACTCAGGAGGCAGAGGCAAGAGAATCACTTGAGTCCAAGAAATTGAGGCTGCTGTGAGCTATGATGCCACAGCACCCTTTTAAGAGTGACAAAGAGAATGCCTTGGGGAAAAAAAAAGTGTAAAACCATGATGTCACTAATTTTAAAAATAAATCAGGCCAGGTATAGCACCTCATGCCTGTAATTCTAGCCCTTTGGGAGGCTGAGGTTGGAAGATTGCTTGCAGCCAGAAGTTCACAACACGGCAAGACTCTGTCTCCACAAAAAATAGAAAAACTAGCTAGCTATGGTGTCATGAACCTGTAATCCCAGATACTTGGGAGGCTAAGACAGGAGGATAGCTTAAGCCCAGGTGTTTAAGGTTGCAATGATGCAATGATGCTACTATAGTCTAGCACAGGCAAGGAAGTGAAACTTTGTCTCAAAAAAAGAAAAAAAAAAGCACCTTTCCTAAAAGGAATAAAGTCTCAGCCATATTTTATATGCTGTTTACACAGCAATGTTTGAATGTATAAATATCAAGTTATGAACTGAAAATTCAAGATTCTAATATTATCAACGTTTCCCTCAAATTTTCAAAAATTACAAAATCTGATGGGATTAGTATATAAATGAAAAAGCAGCAGTTTGGATAAAGAATGAAAACTGGCTTGGTGCCCGTAGCACAGTGGTTACAGCATCAGCCACATGCACCAAGGCTGGCAGGTTCAAACCTGGCCTAGGCCAGCTAAACAACAATAACTGCAACAAAAAATAGCTGGGCATTGTGGCTGGCGCCTGTAGCCCAAGCTTCTTGGGAGGCTGAGGCAAGAGAATTGCTTAAGCCCAAGAATTTGAGGTTGCTGTGAGCTGTGACGCTATAGCACTCTACCGAGGGCGACAAAGACTCTGTCAAAAAAAAAAAAAAAAGGAGAATGAATTAAAACTGCATATATAAAAGTAATAGTTCACCGATTCAGCAAACTAGGAAGAGAAGTGTCAGTAAGTTGCAACTAAAGATCTTGTCCCAGATCTCAAGGAGCTAACATCTAGGTGGGTAGCAAGCAGGTATTAAATACAGAGTAGGGCACAAAAGAAGGCACAATAAACTCTATATATGTACATAGAAAAGGGGGGTGGTCTTCAAAGGCAGCAATGTTAGAGGTGATTAAGAAGATGAGTGCCTAAAGCTAGGGAGAGCATTCCATGTAGAAGAAATAATATCTACAAACTAAGACAAACTCATAACAAACAGCATGCAGACATTAAAAAGTTCTGTAAAATGTAAAACAATGCTACTCTTCACACTAATTCCTTTTCTGTTTTGGAAAATAAAGTTAAAAATTAGTTGTTTTAAAAACCTCTTGGTTTTTTTCATTATTTTTTATTTTTTTGAGAAAGAGTCTCAAGCTGTCACCCTCGGTAGAGTGCCGTGTATCTCTATGGTGCCTTATGCTTAAAAATATAGGTTGATTAACCGGTTAAATGAAGGTACTATATTGGAATAAAAAAGTAAAAGAGAATTTCACTAGCATTTTCTAAAAAAAAAGTGTACAAAAGTCAGAAGGAAGAACATTAGTAGTAATATTTGAATTCAGGTTCCCGTGCCAAAAAAGCATATTATATAATCCCAGTACAACCAATAATATCAAAAATAGAAGACATATCCAATTAGAGAAATCTAAATGTCTCCCAGTTTTTTTTTTTTTTAACAAAAGTGGGGTGATTTGAAGATACTTGTAATGGCAAGGGTAAAATACTTCATGAGTGGTTTAAAAAGAATGTAGTCAAATTAAATACCAACATAAGGCTCAGCACCTGTAGCTCAGCGGCTAGGGTGCCAGCCAAACAACAATGACAACTACAACCAAAAAATGGTAGGGCATTGTGGCAGGCGCTTGTAGTTCCAGCTACTTGGGAGGCCGAGGCAAGAGAATCACTTAAGCCCAAGAGTTTGAGGTTGCTGTGGGCTGTGATGCCATGGCACTCTACTGAAGGTGACAGAATGGGACTCTGTCTCAAATAAATAAATAAATAACAACACGGGATCCTAAAATGTATTGTCATAGCAAGGACCATAATTTCTATTCTAATTCTATTCATAATTTCTATTCTAATGCTCTATTTCCTGAGAGCACTACCATAATGGTAGATTACTAGGTAATAGATAAACATTGGGCCGCCTTTAAAAGGTTGATTTACCACTATTTGAACACAATATCATAAAAATGACTTGAAGTAATAGCAGACATAATAATGAAAATTATGTAAACAATAATTTACATAATAAATGTAAATTTATTTACAGAGTATAAATTGCTCATGAACTTTATGGCCACCCTGTATACTCATTATTAAATCTAAAGTCTGTTCCCATGGCCTACAAGGCCCTCCACAATTTGGCTTCCCCTTCCCTTAAATCAATCTCCTCAGGCGTCCTCAAACTATGGCCCGTGGGCCACATGCGGCCTGACTAGGACATTTATCCACCCGCCAGGTGTTTTTGCCACCACTGCCTGTCCTGCTTAGCAGCTGACTTGTCCCGAGGCCCCTAGTCCAGCCCTCCACAGGTCTGAGGGACAGTGAACTAGCTCCCTGTTTAAAAAGTTTGAGGACTCCTGTTAGACCCACAGCTATACTCCAGCTTCAGGGATACTGTATTTCTTATTCCTTTTGCTAGAAATGCTCTATCAGATGGTTCACTCCCATCTTCATTTAAGTCTCTGTTCAAATGTCTTCTTAGTAAAATAAACTGCCCTTCCTTGACTTTCATACTCCCTATACTTCACAAAACCATTCTAGCCCCTTTATTATCTTTTTATTTTTTATTTCTTTTTTGAGACAGTCTCACTATGTCACCCTCAGTAGAGTGCCATGGCCTCACAGCTCACAGCAACCTCAAACTTTTCTGCTCAAGTGATTCTCTTGCCTTAGCCTCCCAAGTAGCTGGGATTACAGGAGCTCGGTGCCTGTAATAGCACAAGGTCCAGCTATTTTTTCGTTGTAGTTGTCATTGTTGTTTAGCAGGCCTGGGCAGAGGTGTTATGTGGCCAGCGCCCTAACCACTGAGCTATGGGCACCGAGCCTGCTTTATTTTTCTTCAAAGAATTTTCCACACTGAACATATACTTACAAGGTTACTGTCCAATACCCCCCAAAGAAGTCCAAGAGCACACAGCAGGGTAGTAAACTGCTGATGTACAGTGCAGACAGTAACCATTTTAGGCTTTGTGGGTCAAATAGTTTCTGTCTCAATTGTAAATTAAGGAACATGATTGTGTCTAATAAAATTTTTAGACACTAAAATTTTTATTTCATGAAATTTTCACATGTGAAATATTTCAATTTTGTTTTTAATCATTCAAAAACATTAAGGCATTTATCTATTCATAGATAAATATAGGCAGTGGACTGGATTTGGCCCACGGATCAGTTTGCCAATTTCTACCAAAGAATATTAAGAACTTGTTACATTTGTTCACTGCTATATACCCAGGACTGAGACCTAGCATGTGCTAGGAATGTTAATGAACTTACTTTGTTGTTTACAAAATTCTTTCATAACCCATTTCTCTTTTGATCCTTTGAACAGCTGGTTAAAATAGGCAGGGGAGACTATTATTACCATTTCTTCATTGGGAGTGTTGCCTTGTCTGCAGTCACAGGCTTATGAAAGGGAGGTGGATTGAGAACTTAGACATTTAACTATATACCTTGCAGTATAAACAGGAAGTAAAATTCTAAAGATTGTCTTTAATGTGTCACGTGGATTTGGTGGATTTGGCTTTGTCCTTTAAGAATTTTTTTTAACCAAGAATTGAGCCAAAGGTATGCTTGTGAAAGCTGTAGATGCCACAAAGGAGGATAGAT